ACTAATTTGATTAGAACATCCTCTGTTACTGCTGAGATAAAAAGTTACAAAAATGCTCTGACACTCAAGAAGAAGCAAGTTTCTGCGTTTAAAAAAATTTCGCAAATAGTCGCCAGAGTATTTAAAGTATTTTGAAATTTGTAACCTTTCGTTAATTTGAATATTTCGAAATTTTATTTAAATAAAGTTGAAAATATTTATTAATTTTTGAAAGACCAGAGAACGGTAAGAAAAATGATGATTGGGTCAATTGACCAACCAAAAGCAAAATTTTTTTTACAAAAAGCACAACGAAAAAAAAACTTAAAAATTGCAACTCCAAGGTGTAAAATTATTAGCAAATAATATAAATTGAAAAGGGATGACAAGGACGAAAGTTCATCAGAAAACTTCAAAACAATGGAAGGCAAAGAACTTTCAATCTCACAACAAGGGCGTCGACTGATAAGGATTTGGAATATCAGACAGAGCAGCATCAAACAAAACATTGCATCAAGAGTATTTAAAGATTTTAAATTGTTCTAAACTTTGAAGAGAAAGAAAAAACTGTTAAAAGTATATTCTTTGCTGGTAAGTGCAGACATTTCTCTAAAGATGGTGCAAAACGTTTGTGGATGCTTGAAAATAAATCCCGATATTTATCTAAAGACTTGAAATCAATAATTGATCCAGTAATTCAAAGGAATGCGTTCTTTGCTCATCCTGAAAGTCTGCTGGTTTATACTTTTTTAATTGTTTTTTTTTCTTATCGACAGAGCTGATTGATTGATATTTTGGTACATACACTAGTTAAGAGTTGCACTCTTTTTTTTATACTTTTCATGTTGATTTGTAATCTCTTGTTTTTTCATATAAATAACATGTTGAAAAAAGCCCATAGATTTAACCGCCATGCAGCGATCTTTCCTATAACATTTCCCTACCGAACTGATATGCAGTTATGAAAACCTTCGAAAGAACCTTGAAACCAGCGGACTCTGGCGATTCGATGATTTTTATTTTTTTTGGCAACATTTGTTAATCATTTAAGATGAATCTTGAAACAGTTGTGTCAAACTGTTGACATGTTGAAACACTGCCACGGTTGTACATTAAAGAGCATTACAATCTTTATTAGCACCAATGTTGAATGCGTGTTTACGATATTAATTTGCTCTAAATGAAAAGAAATTTGTCAAATATTTTCTAAAATAGATTTAGCATTTATTGAATTGAGTATAATTTATAATATTAACCAAATATTCCACAAACTCCAAATTTTATTAAGTCAGGAACATGGGATAGTCATTGCATATTTAATCAAATGTCAGACGGCTGGTCAAAAAACACAAACCAACAAACAAACAGGCAATAAAAACGGACGAACGTATGGACGAACGAACGACGTTTGGACGAACGAACGAACGTATGGACGAACGAACAAACGTATGGACGAACGAACGAACTGATACGTCTAAACATTCCCATGCCAGCAGTGAACACTGATGCAAAGAAAGTGAAGGGGCATGTTGAGGTGGGAAAGCTAATGTAGTGACGACGTTTGCAAGTTATCACACACTAATTGCCAACTAACATTTGAAACTTTTAAATCATGTCATCATCTACCTTATGCAACTCTTTCTCGATTCTAACTTGCTACAATTCATAATCCAATTCATTGGAATAACTTTCAACACCTTTAAATAATTCTTGTTTCTTTACTTTAATTTAATTTTTTATTCTAATATTTACATCATTATCATCATCGTCGTCATCATTCGTTGCTTAGTTACCATGATCACCGTAAAACAACCATCATCATCATGACGCCACATAGATGATGACGCAATCATCATCAAATCAAGTCACCACCATTTGTCGTCTTCATCATCTCATCATCCTCATTCATCATAACCACTCATTTAATAATCATCATCACCACCATCATCATCACCACCATCATCATCGTCACCACAACCACCACCATCATCGTCACCATCACCATCATCATCACACATCACTATTTGCACATCACCTCTCACTATCCCATTAATAACACCATCTTAACACACCATCATCATTATCATAATCGTCGTCTTCATCATCGTCATCATCATTTACGTTATGGTTACATTAATCAACGAAATGTTTGCATAATGAATGTACATAGTCTCATAATGGTCTGAGCATTAAACGATCAATCACTTACTCATTACAAGGAGCACACAAGCGTTTCAAATGCTGATAAAACACAACTTGTTTGCACGTTTGTTTGTTCGTTCGTTCGTTTGTCTGTTTGTCTGTCTCTTGGTTTGTCTGTCTGTCTCTTGGTTTGTTTGTTTGTTTGTTTTTTATTACTTTTTTCGTATGCTTGCCGACCAATGTTTCAACAGCACTCATCATCATCACATCAACGTCACATCAACAACAACATCATCATCATCATATAAACAACACTTATCATCATCACATCAACAACACTCATCATCACCACATTAACAACATCATCACCATCGCATCAGCAACATCATATCATCACCACATCAACCAAATTCATTATTAACGTCCTTATCTCGAATATGATAATGAATGGACCATTAAAATGAAATTAACCCAGCGCCACAATGTTGTGTGCTGCTAGCTTTTGTTTCATTGTAATATTTTCATTGCAACTGGCAAACAACAACATCAATAATTATAATAATATTATCATAAAGAAACAATTTGGCGCTGATTGCATCTTCCTTTGTTGATTACGTCCAGCCAGACAACTTCAACTAATTATATGAAAATAATCGGAAACGGACCACCATCAAAATTTTTTTCTGATAAATTAAAAATATTCATTTAATAAATGATTGGGCAGCTTCGTTTTGTGGTGTTGAATGCAGTTCAGTGTGGCCACCACACCACAGCCCACCATTCCACACCACAGCCCACCACACCACACTCCACCACACCACACCACACCACCTGTTTCCATTCATGCAATGTTGCTCAATCGATGTCTTTTGACTTTATTTTGTTCTACCATCATTTTGATCAGCATTATTACTATCACCGCGTTTGGATCATCATCATCATCCTTACCATCGTCATCATTATTATCATCATCATCATTAACGTGATAATTATAACCACACCTCTCCCTACTTCATCATCATCAGGAGTACCGTCATCATCATCATCATTATCATCATCGTAAATGCAGTCATCAACCAACAATAACATTCATTAACACTTGACATTTACTTGTAACAACACCACAACGATAATCTGTATCTGTACCTAAGGATTTGTGGAACGCCCCTATTGAATAACTTTTGAAGCACTAGCTTCACTCGAGAGTGTCAAAACAAATGATGTTTCAAACGTTTCTTGGAAACATGTCGGCCCATGTTGTTGAATTTCTTTAAATCTATAGGTGGTGAGACGAATTGAAAAATGAGGATCTAATATAAATCCACGATTCATTACTGGATTTTGTAGTTATTTAAACGGCCGAGGCCATGCGGCGTTCCCATCCACAAACATTGAGTTTTTCTGACATTGAGTTTTTCTGACATTGAGTTTTTCTGACATTGAGTTTTTCTGACATTGAGTTTTTCTGACATTGAGTTTAAACTTGTTTGATGACACCCAGCTACCAACTAAGTCTACTGCATTCGACACAACAGAGGAAAGTTGAAGTGATGATTCATGTAGTCCAAATCCGTAAAGTTGAATATCATCAGTTAAGGACAGTTAAAACTGGCTGCTTCGAAATCTGCCATGTACATGATGTATAGCAGAAGACCAAGTACTGAGCCCTGTGGTATACCTCAGATCAATTCTGAAGAAGCCGTGCTCAGGCCACTCTCATCAACGCTGACAACTTGAGACCTGTCTGTTAAGTAGGACTGTAACCAGCTGAGAGCATCAAATAAAGTAGAAAGACGCTTCAATAAAATCTGGTGGTCAACTGTGTCGAATGCTGCAGAAGTGCCAAAAAAGACATATTACCGGAATCAACGAAACGAAACAAAAGTTTATTTGCTTCTAAAAATTGAAAATTAAAAGAAAGCAGGATGACCGTAATAGAATTTATATGAAATTCATCTAGTATGGCCACCTAAACAGAAATGTTTTATGATTTGAGAAAAAAGTTTAGCAATAACGTAAAAGTTTTCTAAATAATCCATGAGAGGCGTGTTAGATGTTAGTAAATTAACTAATTCGACTATGTTAGCAAACAGGTGTTAATTGTTAGTGACAATGATCTTGGAGTTTATATTAAATTTCATGAATTATTTAGCAAAAATTATCTGAAATAATTACTACTAATGAAGTTTTTATAAAGTTATATAATTAAACTATTTTAACTGAACGAAAAAAAATCAGTTCTTAAATTTAAAATTTAATTTTTCACTGTATGCCTAAATTTAATTTCGGACATTGAGTAAATTTTAAAATTGTTCTTTAGCAGCAAATTCCAAATTCTTGGTCCATGCAGTAAACGTGGAAGAAGAGAACTTTTTTTTTCGATGAATTTAAATTTTTCCTTGACAAAAATAATGGCGTCGTGTGCAAATGCCTTGTTGATGACGTAACTAGCCGTGATGCTCTCTTCATTGTTAGTCGGATGGAATCGGTGATCGTGCGATAGGTTGCAGCCCAGACTACATTGCAGTAAGAAATATACGATACGCATATGGCGTTATAGAACATATTCAACGTTCTTTTTGGAACGTAAAATTGAACTTTGTTGATAACGCGAAGTACTTTCGCAATTTTTTCTGAAAGATAATTTAAGTGGTTTCGGAAATTTAAGTTCTGATCAAGGTGGACACCTAGACATTGAAATGATTTGCTTTCGTTTATTTCTAAGACGTCTGAAACCACCTTCAAGATTGCTGTCTCAGTTGAAGGTGCTTGACGAAAACCTAATTGAATTTTTGGAAGTAGTGAGTTTTTGTTAGGTAAGCGAGGATCTGGCAATCGACAATTATTTCAATTGTTTGGATACGAAGATAAGGTTTGAAATGGCCATGTCTGTGATGTCGAATGTCTGTAGTTGGGACCTGGGTAACATGGACGTTTTTAGACATTTATTGACCAAGTTTGATAAAAATGGCATAAGCGTGTCAACAAATTCCACAAAGAAAAATGTTGGAGTAGGGTCTAGGCAGCATGTTTCACTTGAAGAAGACAAAATGATTGTCGAACTGAATTCTGGCGGATTGACAATCTCTTCAGCTAACAGTTCGGACTTTGATATTAGATGTGTTGAAAACTTTTGAGCTGTGATTGGTGGAGCAGTCGTACATACATTTTTTTGTTCACCGCGTTATGACGTAAACATTTTCCATAACTGTTTTTGGTTTATCAGACGAAAAGCAGAAACAGCAACAATAATAATAATCTTAATAATAATAATAACAAAAATAATAATAATTAAATAGTAGTAATAATAATAATATCGATATCATAAGAGTTGGAAAATTGCTGATACAACGGATGATATAGATGATGATGGTGATGTTGTTAATAATAGTAATGACCTAATTGATGATGATGATTGTCTCAATAAAATCAACAGACACTTCTTAAAAAAAATGATTGGTATGATAATAAAAAAAACTATAATAACCCGACATGGTGATATTTTTAATAATTATATCATTGCTACTGCTAAATCACACACACACACACACACACACGCACGCACGCACAAGCACACACACACACGCACACATGCATACGCACACGCGCAAAATTTTTTTGGCAACCATTTATAATAATCAAACTTAATTTTTCTAAATTCAACAAAACAACAAAACTGGATGGGAGATTGGTATGAAAACGAATATGATAGGAGAGCGATAAGTGTGTAATGGATAAGTTATGATGAGAACTTTCAATGCAACTTGGCAGGCCGACTCAATATTTTCTTATCAATCCTGCAGGGAGCATGTCTTGCCAACACATGTTTTATCAGCAGTTGTCAGCTGCTCATCATGTCCAGTCTCGTTCTTCTAAATGACTTGCAACGTTTTAATTGATAATTAAACATGCATGCCTGTCCAATGTTATGTGTGGCTCGCGTGAATGCATACAATTGCACGAGCACTTGACAGCTTATGCAAGCCTCATCAAGCAATTAGTATCAACTCATCAAAATATTAATTTGCACAGTCACATCATCAACAACAAAATGAAACTACATAAGATGTATCAACAATTTTTAAACACTCGTCAACGTGTTAAAACATTGAATGCTTTCAACATTCTTCACACTGTTCAACACTAAATAGTGGGCCTTGACTGGTTGGTGTGAATTATCATATCTTAAATTACTTCAACTATAACGCTGAAAGTAAATAATTTTAAAAACTAACAACATTGAAAGTGAATAATCATGCTACTGCTAACAAAATGGAAAATTTTGGTGAATAAACAAACATTCATTCTGTAACATGTGGAAGATTTGTCTTGAACTGCCACACCTGCTATGTGCTGGGGTAATAACATTTTGGAAGTTAATTATTTTTCACAATTCAGAATGAGGATGTAGAAAATTAAAAAAAAGTGACTCTCAATTTGGAGTTTCACCGAACGTTTTTTTGAGTTTATTCAAAAATGAATTTTGGTAAAGTTTCTTCCACCTAGAGTTACAACATTGGAATCGGCAAAAATTTCAAAATTATCGTTAAAAAGCACGTCGTCAACATGCCTCCGTTAAATCAACCAATCCTCTTTTAACAGTCTCATTACTTCTACACTTTGCAGTCTCTCACATTCACACACACTCACACACACATTCACACACATATGTATATGTATATATATATATATATACACTCACTATGTGTGTGTGTGTGTGTTTGTGTGTGTACTGTACGTGCCTGCTTGCAAACTGTACGTGAAACGTGTGATTTTTGTGCCCTTGTTAGAGATAACCTCGTTAATTTAATGATTGGCAATAATAATGAAGACCTCGAACTCGTGAAGTTTTGTATGGTGTTAACTGCTGAACGAGTTGATTGGATGGATGTGTGGAGTGGAGAAGTTGGAATGAAAAACTTCAGTGACTTCCAGGAATGAATGAAGGATGGATGGATGGATGGATGGATGGATGGATGAATGGATGGATGGATGGATGGATGGATGGATGGAAGGATGGATGGATGGATGGATGGATGGATGGATGGATGGATGGATGGATGGATGGATGGATGGATGGATGGATGGATGGATGGATGGATGGATGGATGGATGGAAGGATGGATGGATGGATGGATAAATGGATGGATAAATGGATGGATGGATGGATGGATGGATGGATGGATGGATGGATGAATAAAAAAGCTAAATAAATAAAAAAATATATGAATGAATATAAATAGATATATAAATGGATGAATGAGTGAATTGATGGGTGAATCAGTAAATGAATGAAAGAATGGATGGATCATTGGATTGATATATAAATATATGAATGGATGAACGAATAGATTGATAAACAAATAAAAAAATGAATGAATGAATGGATATGTGTTAAAGTTGGAGCAAAGAATTAGATGTTACATTTTAAACTTGTTAAATATGTTGCAAGCAGTCTGTATTTGTATGTAATATGCAGTACAATATACGAAAAGTATGTGACAATACAAGTAACTAGATGCAAAAATGCATGTTGTGCGTGTGTGTATGTGTTTGTGCGTGTGGTGTGTATGTGTGTGTGTGTGGTGTGTGTGTGTGTGTGTGTGTGTGTCCTCCTCATCGTGATCACTATCATTTTAACTGATCACTATTATTTATCACAATCATCAGCTATCATTGTCATCATCATCAGTGTTACTATCATCGTCATCGTCATCATCATTATCAACAACAACAACAACAGCCTTATCATCAACATCATCATCAACAACATCGTCAACAACAACATTAACAACAACAACAACAACAACATCATCAACTCATGAAGAAATCGTTTTCAATTTGTGGACGATTGTTAATGATAGTCTTTTGCGGTGCAATTTCCGAGGCTTCCCCGTAATTGTGTGTTTGTGCTTATGTGTGTGCATGTTTATGTATTTGTTCGTATGTGTGTGCAAGTTTATGTGTGCGTGTGCGTTTTTCAGTACACGTTTATGTGTGTGTACATGTGTGTACACGTTAATGTGTGTGTGTGTGGGTATTAATGTGCGTTCGTGTGAGCACGTTAATGTGTTTATGTGTGCATGAGTGTGTATGTGTATGCATGTGTGTGTGTGTGTGCGTGTGTGTGTGTGGTGTGTGCGTGTGTGAGATATTAATTGGTAACAAACAGCAAGAAATGACAACAACAAACTAACAACATTAACAATGTTACTCTTATTACAGTTAACAAAGGAAATAATTATAAAAATAAATAACAAAAACCGAACAATAACGTAAATAAGAAGAACAAAACAAGAACGTGAACAAGAAGAACAAAACGTGAACATGGACAAAAAGAACAACAAAACACGAACAAAAAGATAACAAACATAAACAATAACATGAACAAGATGAACAGAACAATAACATGAACAAGAACAACAAAACAAGAAGAAGAAGAACAACAAAACAATAATTTGAAAGCGAGAATGAGCATCGGCATGAAACTGAAGCTTGACTTATCTGCTACTAATTAAAATAACACTGCCGATTGATACATGCAATTTTCAGGCGCTTATAACATCGGCGGTTCAGCATATTGAAAAAACATGAGAGTTTTGTAAGCGTGTGTGTTTGTGTGTGTTTGTGTGTGTCTGTGTGTGTGTGTTGATATGTGTGTGTTGATGTGTGTGTGTGTTGATGTGTGTGTGTTGATGTGCGTGTGTGTTGATGTGTGTGTGTTGATGTGTATGTTTGTGTGTATGTTTGTGTTGTAAATTTGCATACGTTTTTGTGTGTGCATTGTAAGGATCTTGATGTCCAAACGTGATAATGTTTGTTTTAATCATCATCGTCAACACCACCATTCTCACCACCATCATCATCATAATCACCATCATCATCACCACAACCACCACTACCACCATTATCATCATCAATGTTGCATTAACGTGAACAGAATTTCATTTCTCAAGTCATTGAGATAACTTTTAAGGCATAATTTGAAATTGGTGTGTGCAATCATGGGATATAGAATCAACTTGGTGAAGAATTTGATATGTTCCCAGCTGGCCAGACCCATGTAGACGCCTTTCTGCTCTCTGTTGTTATTTCCTATAAATCTGTTGAATCGAGTCTAAGCTATTGAGCTACCTATGGTTCTTCTTTTGTCCTATCAAATTCATTGAAAAATTTTTTTTTGTTTTTGAACTTAATAAATGAAAGTGCACAAACTGGCAAATTTTCTGGTTTGACGAATAAGAAAAAGATGATGATGGTGGTGATGAGGATGAAGATGATGATGGTGACGATGAAGACGATAAAGATGATGATGACGACGAGCGCGCTGATGATGGTGGTATGTAATTTGTTAATACCCAGCAATTACTTTCTTATGCGTTCATCAGAGTTTAAATTAACCTCCAATTGAATGATGTGCTTGCAAAACTGGTGTTGAGAGCAACTCCATCTCACCAACTCATCAAGCAATTTGTTCTTCAATGCTCTTTGTGCCTGCCTGCCTGCTTGCATGCAGTTCCAATTAACTCGCTTTCCTCATATCCTATTAATTATGTCTCCTTTTTCACATTTTATTCTTTTTCTGGTTTCTTGTTTATTTAATCAGTTATTTATTTATTCATTTATTTTGAAATCTAATTCCAACATGTTAGATTAGACATAAAAATAATTTCAGAAGAAACAACAACTTTAGACCAAAATGAAAATGGAAATGTATTAAGTAAACATTTATAATTGTAAGAACATTAGATGAATATTCACAGAACATGTAAGAACATTGGGTGAACATGTATATAAAAAAACATTGAGTGAACATGTACGCAAAAGAACATTGGGTGAACATGCACATGTAAGAACTATGGATCTCTGGACTTACTTATACCTGGATGAAAAACCGAAAATCGGTCTTCGCAGAGATGAGGCCACCGTATAACTTTATTAACAAACGTAATATAAAAGTAAATTAGTGTAAAATGTATATTTTATGAAATATGAAATCAATATCTTTGAAAATAAAAAAATTCAACCTATTAACAAGCTTTGAAAATATCAAGCATGTAAAGAGATAAAAAAATAACCAAAAACTAAGTGCGCCATTATTTTTTAATGATTAAAAGTAGATCCGTCAATTGAAAACATAAACATTTTAACTGATTTACAACGAAGTTAAAGAAGCCGTCCTGGGATCTTATTCAACTTTCGCTTTTTATGACTTTTGCTCTCACCGGAATATTCATTTATTTCTTTAGCGACGTTTTTAACAGGCATTTAAAATAACATCCAACAATAATTTTTTTAAGATCATGGTTCCAAACACAAGATAAATTATTTATTCACCAAAAAATAAAATTATGTCACTTTGTTAAAAGTGACATAATTTTCTGTGAAGCCCTTAAAAGTTTCTGAAAATAATTTTTAGATTTGTTTGAAAAAACTACAATATGATTTTTCATAGTTCCTCCACATGCAGCTGAAAAACTTTCTGTTTTCAGCTGCATTATCTACTGATATGCAGACAACATTAACATTAAGTCATGTCAGCATCAGGTAGTTGTTAAATTGTTTGTAAGATGCATTGCTACCATTTCCTTGTGGCACAATGATTTAATCATGAAGCAGAGTATTGTGTCGGCAACTTCTCTATCAGATGTTAATCCAGTCATGCTGCCAATGAAATTTTTTACTTTTTTTGCCACATAGATTTTGTCAATAATCAATATGCAAATTTTCTGCAATGGATTAAGCATTAAGGCTGTTTTGTTTAACCTGAAGGCCAAGTATGAAGCATTGTCAACACCTGTGTCAGTTTATAGTTTTCTAGTAATTGTTGTTAGATGTATACAGAAAAACACTGAGTGAACATGTAAAGTAAGAACATTGTAGGAAAGACTCATTAGTGTTGCGTTATTAAATCACCGGGCTAATAACCAGCCATATAACAATCTCATTACCCGTAATGAATGATAATGCCAACCTTTGCCATTTCTCGCATCATCATCATCATCTTCATCGTCTCCTCATCATCATCATCAACATCTTCATCGCCATCATCATCAACAACATCTTCATCGCCATCATCATCAACAACATCTTCATCGACATCATCATCAACACCATCATCCCCATCATCATCTTCATTGTCATCATTATCATCATTAACAACGCTTTATCGTCGTATTTATATTCTTTTTCTTCACCACCATCATTGCATCATTCTTTTTTATTGTGGTTATGACATAATAATAATAATAATTATAATAATTATTATTATTATTACTGTTATTGCATTACGAACATCATCAGTTTTGTCATCACCATCATCATCTTGTAAACATTATCATCACCATAATAAAAGAGGGTTGAAATAAATAAGTTATTTAAAATACTTTCCTGATGTTCTTTATTGTTCTGTTATTCCCATTTTATCAACAATCCATTTGTTGTCGTCATCAACAACAAAAACATCACCATCAACAACAGTTTTATTCAATTAAATAAACTATACATTTTATAATGATATTAAAAACATTCCTTGATAATTGCAAGATAGCAAGAGGGTATGATGCATCCAACAATCAATCTCAACCATCAAACTGTTGGTGGGCATGGCATTAGTAGAAAGAGAATCTTCAAGGTAATGGTATAACTTCATATTCAGGTAAACAAAATTTTAGGAAAATAGTGTTGTGATGACCCAGTGGCCGGTGCTAATGACTAGCGGAGATGGGATTTTTTGATCAAATGGCGAAATTCTGAAAAATTAAATTAAAAAAGTAAAATTTGTTAAGAGTGAAACAAATATATAGCACCTTTATACTCGTCCAAATTCAGTTTACATTTAAAGCTACATTTTCAAGATCGTGTCTTTTAAATTTCGTTTTTTTTTTATAGAAATGTTAATTCATCTAGTTGGGATAGTTGGAACATTTTATGAACTGAAGAGGCTTGATCCAAATTATTATACCCAAAAATATCCAAAGATCAAGATTAGCGCAGAAAAATGGCAATATTTGTAAAAATGTTTGTTGATGCAGATGTTTTAAATTGTGTTTAAACACCAAAATTGGCTTTGGAGCCGCATTCCTAACAATGAACATTTCTGTTAGTTTTAATTTTTAGATGGTATAAATCTCTTACGGCAGAAACATTTTGGCAAAATTATCTAAAAAGTTTTTTACTTTGGAAGTTTTTTTAAAACTGAGCATGTTAAATTTGTTGTAAATAACTTCTATTAAATTTTCTGAGCTCTTTATTGCCAAGTGAGACTTTATTGAAAACTATTTCAAACATTTCAATTATTGAATTGAATTGAATTGAATTTTATTCAACTCACCAACTTTTTATTTATGCCAACGATATATAAACGATTCAGTAACATAAATTGTTGTGGTAAAACAAGCAGTAGAAAAACTTTTTCCAATGGCAGATTCACAAACAGAGAAATTTTGGGCAACGTATGAAACTGAAACATGCTACCATGCCTATCTTCTTCAATCTAGATTTTTCAACGTGTCATGCGTTAGAACATTCTTGACACACGTGTAATTGTGATTGTTGTTTATTACACCACTAATTATAATTGCTTCTCATCAACGCTCTCCAAGTAGAAAACTCCAAGTGATATTAATGTGTGATATATGTAATGTGTGGTGATGCTAACATTCAAATGTTGTTTGCAAGTTTTGGTAGGTTGTTGTTGCAGCAAATGTTCGATATGTAGGTATGTGTGAATGTTCTTAATGTGCAGGTGACGTTGTTTCATGTTCTAATCTGAAGCACCATCTCTACTCCACCTTGTTGTAATTGTTCAAAACAATTATAATTAACACTGTTACCATGCAAACACTGGACGCTAGTGCCGGCATTAACTTTATCAATGAATAATCAAATCTAAGTTTCAGTCAATCACCAATTTAGCATCTAGTTATCTATTACTTTCGTCATTGTTTTTAAATATAAAAATACATACATGAATTTATGGAAGGGAGTTTGCAGAGGTACCGATAACAAAACGCGCACCAACAACTACACAACAAGCAACAACATCCACCGACAACACAACAAGCAACAACATCCACCATCTTCAAACTGTCTCACAACTTTAAAATGCCCGCTCATTTCATCTGGCCACCTTTCAACAAATTCAAATTATGCTTCAGAAGATGATTTTAACAACATACAACTCTCAAGAATTTATTATCAGCGCACGCACAAACACAAACACGCAACAAACGCCTGTTGAATTAACGTTTACACGTAAGGTAATTTTCAAACAAGTGCTCAAGATATTTTATTGACACAACATTTTAAGAAACAAAAAACAAAAACACACAGAATGCAAAAACACATATGCAACGCACATGTATAACACACACACACACACATACATACAAACACATTCAACATGTACCTAATCATCAAGATACACACACATTAAAATAAATGCTACGTACCTCTAGAACGCTAAGGCTCAAAGGACAGATGCACAAGTAGACGAACGTAAAAGCTGATTCGCAAACAAAACAAGCAGACACGTACGGACTATAATTTGGTTCTCATCTATCGAGATAGCATTTAGAAAATCAACACAAAATAATTATCATAATAATAATCATTATGACTTTTGTTGACTGTATAATCATCATTTTTGCCTGTCCTGTGGATGCAAAACTCAAGAAAACACCAAACATTCTATGGATCGTTTGAAATATTTTATTAATTCAAGAAAAAAATAAATTATCCAAATAGAAAAGTTTAATTACATGTAAAAAGACAAAATAGTCTGCTTTCTGCGTTATAAACTTTAAACAAACTTCATGTTGAATGAAAATTGCACAACAAACGAACACTCACTGAAACGTTTCAGTCAACTTATCAACTTAAATGCTATTAAAAAATACTTGCCAGTCAAAACATTTAAAATATCGGAGGGATGAAAGATCGATATCTGAAATGGTTGGGTGATGGTGAAGTTGAAGACGACGAGGAGAGTTGGTTGCTGGCTGGGTGGGCGATTTGCAACGAAGAGCCTAACGGTTTCAGCAGCTGGCCACAGTACAGACTGCTGAAGTAGAATGAGTTGATGGTGCCGTGTTGAGGTTGTTCGTGCTGGCGAGCAAAATGATGGAGCGTGGGGTGGTTGTTGGGGTTGCTTGCGTGGTGATTGGTTGGGAAGATGACGGGGGGACCCGGGTTGAAGACGGGAGTGTTGATGTCCGATCCTGGATTCTGTTTCTTCCATTTTGTTCTCCTGTTCTGAAACCAGATTTTGACTTGAGTTTCAGTCAGGCTCAAAGCCAGTGCTAAGTTGAGTCTCTCGCATACGGAGAGATACCTCGTTTGACGAAATTTGTTTTCAAGGGAAACCAACTGCTCGTACGTGAAAGCAGTTCTCACTCGCCTCGGTTTGCCTCCTACTTCTCCGTCTGCACTGTCGTTTTTTCCATCTTCATCTTCGTCATCTTCATCATCCATCTCATTATTTGCATCGTCGTCATCATTTTCAATAGAATACGTCACGTTGTTGTGGTTGTTGTGGTTGGTGTTGGTGTTGTTGTTGTTATTGTGGTTGGTGTTGCTGCTACACATTTCTTGGTTGATGTCTGAACCACTGTTGTTGTTGATGTTTGTAATTGTTGTATTTGTTGTTGTTTTCGTCATGTTACTACTGTAATGTTGTTCTGATTTGAAATTCAAAACATTTTCATAGAGGGGGTAGAGAGGGTTGTTGGTTGTTGAATTGCTGGATGGTAGGGCTGGGGACAATTTAATTTTCAATGGAGCTGGTTGCAAGAATGGTGATTCCGGTGCTGGTTGCTGCTTGTCTTCGTGGTTTGCATCGTCGCTGCTAACATCTGTTTGGTCGACATTTAATGGGTTTAAATTATTTGTGATTTAGTAGCTATAAAGAAAATTACAACATAAATAATTTTGTGCGGATTAAAATTTTGAAATGTCTGAACCAGTTAAACATGCAACATGTTTTCATAATATAATTACTTTAACATGATATTTGTAATTGAAAATATTATTATTAGCATCGGTGTTTTGACATTAATCAGAGACAACTGCATTCGTGGCATCATAGGCGCATCATTCATCGAATGATTCAAGAGAGAAGTAGAGAGGGAGAGAAAAAGAGAGAGAGAGAGTGATATAAATTAGTGATTTATAAAGAGCTGCTTCCATCAACGGCCACATCCTGCAAGCATCGTGTATTATCTATTTGATCTCGTCATGGGTCAGGTTCATTGTTTGAGGTCAGAGGTCAGATGTGCTTGTTTGAATGATTGGTCCGGTGCATGACAAATGTACACCAACACGAGAACATCTACGCGCAAGTTTATACAACAAATCATATTGTTGAGCATAAATGGTTTATTATGAATTTTAAAGATGTACAACGTACTGCAATCTAAAATGTCAAACAGCATGGTAATTTTTCATTTTTTATGACTTGACCTTACATGTAACAATGGAAGCATTGGAACGGGATGAAGTTAACAAGACTCAGAAATCACAATGCAGAGAAAAACAGCAAACAAATAATTCACTCTAAAAAAAATAGCGCAGAGATTTAAAAACGAATTTAACTTTTAAAATTGTTGAACGCCCCGGACCTTATTGTTTATACAGTGAAGCAAGATATTATTCATTAACAACACTAACAATGCCAGAACAGGACAACCGTGTGTTAATCGTTTAGACTGAACATTAGCTACGTTAAATGAAAAAATTAACATGAGTTGAATGTGCAACATGGCCGAACATCAGAATTTGGAATAGTAGGATTTTGAAATGTGAGTTGAAAGTTTCCACTCGCAACATAATAATAACGATAACAACTTCACATAACTAAAGAAATAGCAACTAAATATCTGAACAATTTCAGCACACAAAGCAAACATCAAAGTGTTTTTTAGCAGTCTGTCGGTGCAATGTAATGATGGAAGCAACAAAAATATTTGGAATGCCTCAGACGATTATCTACAAATTTCAAGTTATCATGCGCGTGCTCTGCCCTATTAGATCAGATGCTGATGTTGCTACTGTTGGTTGGTGTTTTGATGTTGTTTAATTAGTTAGCGTGTGTAAGTGTTGTTGTTGTTGTTGTCGTTGTTGTTGTTGTTGTTGATGATGTCATTGTTTATTAGCTGATAACATTTGCAAAATTGTTTACAATTTCGGTCTTGTTAAGCACAAAGCAGTTTTTTTGGAAGAAAATTTATAAAAAAAAGTAGATAGATGTATATTATTATTATGAAAAAAAACTGTACATAGGCCCACACACAAACTTAACTAATAAACATACAAACATATAAATATTGATAGATGTTTTATACAAAGTTCAAGCAATTTACAAAACAAATAAATATAGTAGCTTGAAAATTTGAAAAAAATAATTATGTGTGTCTGTTAGTGGTACTAAAAATGAAAAGAACTGTGCGAGATAGATTCACTGTTGTTTGTGACTATATGTTCATCCACCCGTCCATCTATCTGTCCATCCATCCATCCATCCATCCATCCATCAACCATTCCATTCATCTAGGAATCATCCGCTTGTTTCTTTAATTGTTCTTTCCGTTTGATACTTTTGATCTGCCTGCTTTTGGAGGCCGGCTGCATCATCAAATAGTTATGCCCTTCTTCGTCTCTACGTGTGTGCTCACAAATATGTGTTATTAATCACTCGTTTTACATTGTGTACGTATTTTAATGTGCCGTACTACATTATACGTACACAACTATATTACACACATGCTCACAAATTATGCTGCCTTATACACACACACATGTATCCGACTTAAATGTATCACATTATATGTGTGTATGCATGTGTGTTTGAGCTATTGATTGTTATATGTGTTTGTTTGTCTGTGAATGAAAATTGTTTGTTTGTTCGTTTGTTTTTCTGTGTGTTTGTATTTACGTGTGTGTTTTTTTGTTGTTGTTATCATTCACTCACCATCTTGTTAATTTGTTATTACCTTTTCAATTCAGCCTGTCTTTATCTTCAAACGAATGGCTGGATTTTGCAACGCAATGGATCTTTTTCGTGCGCTAGATGAGTGTGATGATGTAATGATATCTTTTATCATTCCGATGCGCATAATTGTCTATCCACTCATAAGCCACACAAACATTTTAACATGAAAAGAATAACGAATAAAAAAATGCAACACTCTCGAGTAGAGGAACTCACGTGAAGACGTCAACACATCACCACAACGTATCAATAGCAACGACAACAACAAACAACACTGAGAAATAAAAAATTTAAGTTGAAAAGCAGATAAAACAAAAATATTTTTTAATTTGTGTATGTGTGTGTGTGTGTGTGTGATTGTGTGTGTATTTCTAAATTGTATTTGTATATTGTAGCAGAAGTTTCCGAAACACACACACAAACACATATACACAAACACATAAACAAACACACACAAACAAACACACAAACAAACAACACAAACAAACAAACACAAACAAACAACCACAAACACACACACACAAACACACACACACGCACGCAACACACAAACACACACAAACAAACACAAAAAACAAACACACAAACACACAAACAAACAAACAAACACACAAACACACGAACAAACACACACAAACAAACACACACAAACATACGCCAGCGAATCAGACGTACGAGCGCCCAAACAATTG